AGGTTCTGATGGTGTCACCTGTGAAAGCTCAGACTGGCTGCTGCGTGGAGCGCACCTGGGGGCCACAGGAAGACCACAGGGACAGCAGAGGCAGCAGGGAAACCATCACAGACAGAATGGACAGGAGGGAGGGACAAGGAGGTGTGGAGCCAGGTCCAGCTTTGGCCCTGGGGACGTCATGGACTCATTGGATGAAAAGAGGCCCCCCTGGGAGAGGGAGAGTGTTCCCTTGGATGAGGTGGGTGTGCACCAGGAGGTGGCTATGCTGGGGCAGGTGTCCCTGGGGTACAGTGTGGGCATCAGCAGAACAGAGGAGACGGGGGCTGTGGAGGATCTGGTGGAGGGAGGAGGGGCCAGAAGGCAGAGTGGGGCGGGCAGTGAAGGAGCCAGCACGCAGGGCCCAGGGCAGGGAGGGAGCATTCAGGGGCTCCAGGCTCTGCCCCCTGCCCCCACCCCTCCCTCAAGCCAAGCCTTGAGTCCCCAGACCCTCCACTCTTCTGGATGCAACTTTGTAAATGCAGTCCCTCTGGCCCCGCTTCCTGATCCATCCCCTTGTCCCCCAGAAACCTCTTACATGTCCCTGAGAGCCTGTCCAGAGTCACTCCTCTGTCAGGCCCTTCCTGAGCCTGGCCCTGTGACAGCGTCAGCACCCCCTCTGGCAGCACATGCCCCTCTTGCAGGCACTCACTGCAGGGGTGGGGTCAGAGGTGTCAGCGCCTGGCTTCACAAAGTCACCATGTCCCATAGCCGGTTCCCCAGCTCCTTGATCTGGGTCACTGGAACCCCTTCAGGGTTTGGTGATGACAGAAAGCTGAGGGTCCAGGTCCTGCTCCTGGTAGCCTTTTTTGGTGAGGAGGGCCCACCTGGGGAGGAGGCGATGGGCAGTGTGGCCTGCCCCCCCCCCACACGGTGAGCAGCAGCAGAGCTGGCCCCGCCCACTCAGCCCCTACACACCCTATAGGCTCCCAGCACAGCGTTCAGGCCCCGCCTCTTCTCCAGCCTCATTTCCACCCAAACACCCTGCACAGGCCCCACATTGTGGCCACGCATCCGAGAGCCATGGGCTCAGACTGATCTGCCCACCTCCACCCTCACCAGCCTCACCCTCCCCTGCCCCGGCCACACCAGCTCCTCCTCAAAGGCTCCCCTGACCCAGCACAGCTGGTGCCCTTTCTCAGGAGCCTCAGGGCTGCAGCTCTCACAGGGGTCAGGGACTACCTCCTGCCCTCCTGGGGCCTCCTGGGCAAGATGAGACCCAATCTGCTCTGCACCCAGAGCCCAACACTGGGCTGGGGACAAGGCCCAGGAAAGGGGGCAGGTGGGCGCACACGAGGACACAAGCACACGGGTCCCTCTTGTCCCTGCTGGCCTCTAGACAGATGGAGATCCTTCCTTCTGCCCCTCCCCTGTCCAACATGCCCCCTCCACCACCACCAGCCCAGCCCCTGGAGAGTCAGACCCCCAACCCTCAGCCCAGCAGGAACAGTCAGTGTCCCTCCAGCCAACCCGCCCAGGAGCCATTCTCTCACTCACCACGCAGACCAGGACCCCGAGCTGCAGCAGCCTCTGCAGGGCACACACCCGCCACTTCCTGGTCATCACTTACTTCTCTGTTCTTGCCAGTCCCCAGAGATGCAGCAGTGGGGGCTCTGGTGGGGGTTATATTGCTGCCAGGCATGAGCCATCAAGGGGTGGCTGCAGCTCCATCCCAGCATCCTCCACGGCACCACAAAGGAGGTGGCCTTAACCCCTTGACAAAGAAGCTTGTGGACACAAGTGGTGGGCTGGGGTATCAAGCCGATGGGTCACAGAGTCACCATGCAACCCCAGGACAGTCTGCCTGCAAAGCCCCTCCCACGGCCTCAGGCCTGGAGTTTGGGGGATGGAGGCAGGTGGAGGAGGGCCGTGCCTGACTTGGATTCCACTGGCTGGGGAGTGGTGCTGGCCCCCAGATGTGGACCTGTTGGAGAACTAGCCGGGAGTGGTGGGCCCCCAGGCTGCATGTGCCACCCTCACAATGACCCCGGCCATGCAGAGAGTACAGATGGCAGGGAACGGCCTGGAGGAGCAGGCGGCCCCGTACCTTGCTGAATTCCTGCTGGCGCACACAGGCCTGAAATCCCTGGACCTGAGCTACAGCCAGCTGAGTGACCAAGCAGGTCCCATCCAGCCTGGGCCACCGTGGGGCCCGTCTCCCTGGGGTAGAGGTGGGTGGAGGTAGGCAGGACCACTCTGAGCATCTGTGCTCTGACCCCTCTCCCCATGTCCCACCTCGGCCTGCCCCTTGCCCACTCCTTCCACACAGAATTCCTACTCCACTCACTGGATGTCTCATTGCCCACCGCTGCCCATGCTGGGTGCTAACTTAGCCACTAGGGACCAGCATGAACAAAACAGAGGCCCTGGCCTCAGGGCACACATATTAACAAGGTCATTCTCCATAATTATTGGTGCTACAGAGAAACAAACAGGGAGTGATTAAAGAGAAGAATGGGGATCCCCTCTTAGAGGGGTGGCCAGGGTGGCCTCTGTGAGGAGGTGACATTGAAGCTGAAATATGCAGGTTGGGGAGGAATCAGCCATGGCAGGACCAGAAGGATCGCATTTCAAGGAGAGGAACAGTGAACACACAGGTCTGTTTTCAGACTGACTGACACCAGTGTGACTGGGCTATTGGGCCAGGGGAGAGTGGCCAGGCTGTGGGGTACAGGCCACAGGGGGCTATAGGGCCACAAATGATGGCAAAAGGCATGAAGATTTTATTCCAAGTCTGTGAAAGACATCAATGGGATTCCTTGATTTCACCACTTTCATGCCCCAGGGCCTTTGCATGGGCTGTCTGCTTTGCAAGGTACATACTGTCTACTTTCCTGTCCTCAACCACTCCAGTCAAGTATAAGAATCACCTGGGACCGTGGGTTAGGAGTATAGACTTGGGGGTATGCCCATGCAACCGTCATTTTAGCAGGTATTCCAGGAGATTTGTCTGATTGAGATAGTATGGGAGTCTCCGCTCTGTCTCAAGCTGCTTAGAGCGTGTAGGGTGGCACCAGCCTTGGCCTGTGGGAATCAGCCCTAGGATCTGACTGCCAGAGAGCCGGTTTACCTTCTAAGAAAGTTGCCATGGGAAGTCAGTGAAATTACAAGAGAAGCTCATTTCAGACTTTCCACAAACCAAGTGCAGGTGTCCCTCTGGGCTGCGTGGTCAGAGGGCAGGCGCCAGAGAGGCGGCCAGGAGGGAGGGGCTGGAGGCTGAGGCCTGTGAAGGCTGCACAAATACAGGAGGGGCGGTCTTCAGCCTGGAGAAGGACAGACTCCGCAGGGCCATTTTGTTTGCCCAAGTGGGGCTCTGTGGGTGCGCCCGACTCCCTGGAGGTGGAGGAGCTTGGGTCCAGTCTCCCCACCTGACCCATGGCGATTGTGGCACAGGACACATAGGGTGGCTGCAGGGGTCACAAAGACCAAGCCTGGGAACCACAGGAGGCCGACTCCTGCCTGTAGAAGAACTTTCTCACCCTCCAGCTGCTCAGCAAGGAAGGGGCTTCTCTACACAGCGGGAGACCACGGCCCTCTCCTCCCAGCCTGGAAGGGTCTGAGGAAGGGGAAGTCCCCGCATCTGGGAGCCTTAAGTGACTTAAGTTCCACTTAATGACAGCTCCACTTAATGACTCTGGCGCTGGGCCTGGAGTCTGCGCGCTGTTCTCAGGGAGGCCACGCAGGGGCCGCGCCTCCTGCAGGGAGCTCTCCGCGGTGCTGAAAGTGCCCGCCCAGGCGCGTGAGGCCCCGAGGGCTGGCTGAGAGCTCTGCCCAGTCAGGGCATCTGTTTTCCTCTGTCTGTTTCCACAGACCAGCCTTCCCAGACCTGTGCTGGGTGCGGGGACCATGGAATGGAGAGGGGTGAAATTCAGGTCCCTGAGGGCCCCTGGGCTGATGGGCGAGATTGGCCAGGAAGAGAGGTCTGATGGCCAGAGACTGGGAGGAGGGAAGCACAGTGGGCCTGGGGCCTGATGCTGCCCAGACCAGCCAGGCGGGCAAGGCTTCCTGACACTGTCACCCCAGGTGAGAAGGATGAGGAGCTGTTAGCCAGGTGAAGAAAGGGGTCAACAGTTCCACACAGGGGGACAACCTGGGGCATGTTGTTTCTGGCACTTTTGAGAAGTGGATGCAGGGCAGACTGGTTCAGTGCTGACAGAGTGGGGAGCAGAGTGGGTGGGTGGGTGGGGCTTCTGCCCATTTTACATGCTGGATATCTCCCAGGGTTTCTTAACCTCACATGACCCCCACTTTCCTTTCTCTACCACCCCTGCCTTCTCTCCACCACAGCTGCACTGGCCTTGTCACTTCTTGACTATAGGCTGTGGCACAAACTTCCAAACAGTCCCCTGACCTCTTGTCTCTGCCCCTGCTGACTCCAGTCCATCCCTACACCCACTGCTAAGGAGTCCAGCCTTGTCACTTCCTAAAGCCCTCCCTGCCTCCTCACCACTGAAAAAGCACTGCAAACTCCCTTGTCCTATCATTGAAGTCTCTCAGCATCTTTCAAGTGCCCATCGCTCTTCCCTCATTTCACTGGCTTCCCCCCAACCGCCACCAGTGCCAGGCCTGTGTGCATTTCCACAAGTGTCCTGTGCTCCCTTGGACTCCACACACTCGCTCTTTCCTGTTTCAGCTCTCCACTGTGTGTGCACACGTGCATGAGGACTTCCTCAGTCTTCAAGGTTATCTCCTCAGTCCTCACTTTCCTGACCACCCCCTCAGACAGGGTTAGCCCCCACTCTGTTCCCACACCTCCCTGTTTGTAGTCTAGAATAGCTCACATCCCACTACTTTGTATTTATATCTACCCTATTAAATGTGAAATCCTTGAGGGTGGGGCAGGCCCATGTTAGGTTCAACTCCATGACCCTCAGGTCCAACAGAGACCCTGGCACACAGCGGGCACCAGTATCATTTTTTGAAGGAGTAAACAGTGAATAAGGTCTCTCTTGGTGTTTCTGAAGGGTGGACACTTGGACCAGCCCTGGCAGAAAACACAGGACTCACTGAGCTTGACATGAGCTGGAGTCATGTTCAAGGCCCAGGAGCCATGGCCTTTGCCAGGGCACCAGAGGTATGAGGGCCTCCATCAGCCCCTCTGGCCTGTCTTTTGGGGGTAGGTCTCCCAGGTGCCAGTCCCTGTCTTTGCAGCTCTTCGGAAATGAACCTTGGATCTTTTAAGCTGAGCTTCAAGAATATTTCATTAAGTGACTTAAGTTCCACTTAATGACAGCTCCACTTAATGACAACAATGTCCTCTCCCCCTGTGCCCACTCTCACATCACTTACTGAGGGGCCTGAAGCTGACTGTCACACCCTTCCCCAGACATCACAGACACTTGGCTTGTGGGGACATGGTGCATTCTGGTGACACATGCTCACTGTTGGACATATACAGACTCTTCCCGAGATGACACCCTGGCACCCTTGGGTCCCAGCACACTCTCAAACAGCCCACCTACTCCCTTGGATATGATGGCTTGTAGGCCATGGGAACAGATGGCTCTGGTCCCTGCCAGAGTGGCAGATGGTGCCTGTAGTGCTCCTGGTGCTGGTTCCCTGTGTGATCCTCCTCAAGGAAGGGCAGCCACTGCCTTGCCCTCTGACAGGGCCTGACCTGGACTCCTGTCCATAAGGTGGCAGGTCAGGCTCTGTCTTCCCAGTACATCCATGAACTCCACCCCTCTCCCCATCACAGACCAAGCAGCCTTTCACTGGAGCCCCCCTGGGACCCTGGGCTGTTCTGTGCCTAAGAGTCCTTGCCCTTGAGAGGCCCCCAAGTGGATGTGGGGCCTGATCGCTGTGTCTCTGGGGCCTGCTGCTGTGAGTCAGCCCCCAGGCCCTGGGGGTTAATCACATCTACGCTTCTCTGACTGTTGGGCTTCCAGGGGTTCAGCTCTATTCTCACCATCCAAGACACAGACTGTAACCTGGATTGTGTCCTTCTGCACTCAGTCCACAGTCTTTGCACCTCGGGCTTCCTGGGCTCTGAGGCTGGGGCACCTGACTTTCTCCATCACCTGCGGTCGGTCCCATGGCTATGTTCTTTTGCTTTCCAGGAAAACATCTTCCTGAGAGTCCTGGACATCTCATACCATGGCCTTTGGAGATTCTGGACCCTCCAAGGTGAGTGAGGCACTTAAGATCAACAACGTGTTGGAGGAACTCAACATGAGGTGAGGGGCATGGGGTGCTCCCAGTGTCACAATCTCAGGGCCCAAAGCCACCCCAGGGACCAGGGGCTCCATGATCTTGCTGCTGTTCACCACTTTAATTCCCAAACCTACCACAGTCTGCCCATGATGGGGCCTGAGCCACAGTCCAAGAGCACCCAGCTCCGTCCTTCTCACTCGAGTTCATCATTCGAACACTGGGGCTCGTGATTCCCACTGCACAGGCAGGGGCTGGGAATTGCACATGTGTGTGTGAAGGGTCTTCAGAGAGCCTTGTGCAGGGTGAGTGCTCACATGCTGTGCTCAGCTCATGGCTGCTGGGGGCCTGCTGTGTGTGGGCTGCTCCTCCAGGCCCAAGCAGGGTCCCAGGCCTCAGCACGGAACCAGAACAGGGGCCGCAAGCTAGAGGGAAGAGAAGAGGCAGAGGCCCGTCAGGTCTCCAACAGCTGTCCTTCCTCCTCCTCAGCCCACTGGACAGCTGCTCTGCTGTGATGGCCAGGGCACCCTCACTTCCCCTTCATCTTCTCCTCTGTTCTTCCTCTGGCCTTGTTGGACCCAGGCTCAGACCTACCTGAGACCCTGTGTGCACAGAGGGGTTCCATCCTCCAAGGGTTGCCAGTGGGGAGGGAGCAGCTGAGCAGGGCTGAGAGCAGGAGACAGAGAAGGGAGGGTGCAACGGTGGCTAGAGCAGGTCCACGGGGACCACTGTGCCAACAGCATGTGCTCAGAGGACAGTACCACCAGCTCTAGGGGATCCAGCCCTGCCTGGCCCTCAGCTCCCTCAACTGGCAGAGGTGCCCTGCAGAACCCAGTCGCCAGCCTAAGGCTCAACCCTCTCCTGCCCTTGACTAGAACCCAGACCTCTCTCTTAAGCTCTGGATCCCCATTTCCAGCCACCTGTCGGACGATCCCCCAGATGGCCCATAGGGACATTGGATTCTGAGAGTCTGACCTGGATGCACCATCTCCCTCTAAGGGCTGCCTCTTGGCGGCAGGCCTCCTTCCCATCAGAAGCTGGGCTCAGCTCTTGTTCCCCTCTTACCCTCATCTATCTCCTCCATTCCATCTCACCTCCTGCAGAGAGCTCAGGCTGCCTGCTCCTCCTTCTCACTCCCCTCCTCCAGGCCTGTGCTCCTGCTACTTCCTCCTCTCTGGCCCTTCCTGCCCACCTGCTCCCAGGTGATCTTTCTACACCAGAAATGTGCCCATGTCCCTCCTGCTTTAAACCTGTCAGCAGCCCCCCTCTGGGTGAATCCAGGCTTAGCAGTGTGTCATTCACAGCACGCCCTCGGGATCTGGGCTCTGCCAACCCCCCTCTTCCCTCCAGCTCTGAAATCCATCCTCTGGCTCCAAGCTGCCCAGAAGTCTCCGTGCACACGGGGCAGTTTCTCCCTCTGCATTGCTCCTGCTGCTCTTCTTGCTGATATGCCCAGCTCTGCCCACCTCATCTGCAGAGCTCAGCTCAGGGGCTCTATCTCCATCCAACCTGTACCCCCAGGAGAGCTGGTGCACACTATCTCCTTGCACGCATCACACTGCATTTTTATGATGTTCCTTTTCCTCTCCTTCCCCAATGGGTGATCCCTTTATGGGTAGCAGTGTCTCGTGCGTCTGTCTTTGTCCCCTTCACAGAGCCGGGCACTGGGTGGGCACTCAGCCAGCATCCACCCCCTTCCTCTCTCCTGGCCCTGAAGCCTCACTCAGGGCATTCTGTCCCATGGAGACACTTCTGAGCGGAGGCGGTGGGGCTGTCCCTGGCCCTGTCAGCAGAGATGAGGAGTCCCTGCTTCCCCCTCACGCTGCTCTCCCAGCCTCGTTGGGCTCAGCTGCTCTCAAGGTCGTGCATGTGTGTTTCTTAGGGGTCTGCTTTGGTGTTCTCCAGTCTGTGCTGGGGGACCCAGTATCTGCCCCAGAACTGCTGGATTTCTCTGGAAGAGCTTTTCCTAAACCCCACCTCGGTCCTCCCAGCAGCCCTGTGAAGCATCGTTTAAGGGAGAGAGTGGGGATTGGAGACCTAGAGTGTCCTGCCAGATGTATGGCATGGCCGAGTCCACATTCCAGCCCAGGCCTGAATGTGGGTCCTGACACCCCTCCAGCCCCACTCCTGCTCCTGACTGGGGTGCCGCCCTGGCCTCTCCTTGGACCCCTGCCTGTGTTCTTCACCAGCTGAGAGAGAATAGCTGGCTCAGGGGGACGATGCTCCCTGTTCACTGATGTTTGGATTTGCAGGTCCAGCCCTCGCAAGGTGACCCCTCCCCCTCCCGCACTGCCTGCAGGAGGACCGTGGTCCTGGAAGAGTCACTGTGTGTCTGTGAGGGAGACCAGGACCCCTTTCACTCAACTTTGCCTTTCTAACGTAGAAAAAAATGTCATTCTTTTCCAAGGCAGTTAAACACTGAGGAGAGAACCCCAAATACAAATTATTAATAGAGTCCAGTCCCAAATCACTGCTTATTCCAACCCTGATTCACTTCAGTCCAGACCTGAGTCAAAACCTCTCCAGAGACCTGTCTTCACAGCTCCAACCCTCAGGCTCGGGACACCTGGTGTCGAACATCCTCATTTCCTTCTCCCTTCTCCCTGCCTTGTCTCTATGGCTCCACAGCCAGAGATGAGTTTGCCTTGACCATGTCCCTCTGCTCTGAGAAGGCACTGGACTCCATCATTCTAACGCAAATGGAATACATGAAGTTGTCCTGCAACAGCACATGCTTGTTCAATACAATGTATGGTTATTGTCAGAAGCGTTACTATAATGGAAATCCCATAGGGTTTGGAATCAGACAGGCCTGGGACCAAATCCCGATCCATCAACATTGGATCCTGGATTCTGAATCAGAGATCAGCTATAGTCTGGATACAGTGCTCTATTTCCTGCTCCTTCACTGTTGTCATTAGTCTAATCTGCCTAGTCCAGATTTTATCCTCAGCTTTAAGGGAAATCCTTCTGAATTCCTACAGCTCATGTAAAACCCTTCCCAGGACTCAGCCTTGTGTCCGTGTGAAACAGGGCTAGTACCTTCCAGCCAGGGTCACTGTGAGACGGGATGAGATGACAGACCCTACAGAAAGGCTCTGTGCTGGTTCTCTTTCCCCAACCTCTCTGGTTTTCATTTCCTGTTGAGAGCAACATTTATGCTGCAAAGTGCACGTGGATTAAGGGCAGAGCCTGGTGAATTTTTACAAACAGCATAGAACTATGTAACCAGCCCCCAGAAGCCCCCTGAGCCCCTGCCCTTCTCTGTTTTAATAGTTTGGGGAGTAATGACATTGTCATCCATAGGAGAGAAGTTGTCCTAAGGAGCTTCTTCAACACCCTGTGTAAGTAAAGGAAGTCAAGTTCTCAGAAAGTGACAATGTGCTGCCGGGTCCTGGGTCTCTCCTCAAGATGTCCAGGTGAGCAGAGAGTTTGATGACTTCGCCAGCTCAGTGAAAGTCACTCTTCCAGGGCTTGGCATAAAGACTGCTGCCCGCAGAGTAGAGGACAGAACAGAGTTGCTGCCAGCCTTCAGCCCATCCCCACCAGCGTCTGTCCCTAAATGACTGTGGAGTGTGGCTTCCTTATATTCCATTGGCCACTTCAACTTCCACATGGAAGGTTCTGGACCTCACCGTGCCTTGTTACCACCTGAGTCCCCATGTCAACTGGGGTGTAGTCCTAGGGAGCTGGCCTTCATGATGACACAGACACCTGTACCCTCCTCAGCCCCCACGGTCCCTGCACTAACCTGGACCATCCTCTGCTCGCTCTCGTTTGGTGAATTCACTCATGGGTGAATTGTATGGTATGTGAATTATATCTAAAGCTGTTACCAAAAACACCCCATGTTTTTTATCCAAATTGAGTCAAAAAAGTATATGAATGTATATACACAGAAAAAATACCAAAAATCACCCAGCATATTAATAATATTTATCTCTAGGCTGTGTGTTTATATATTTTATTTTCTTCATATTTTTCTGCATTTTCCACACTTTCTACACTAAGTATGTATTATTTTAGAATCAGAAAAATAAATAGTACTTAACAACACAACGTGATACAGGCTACAATTCAGTCACGTGTATGGCGTGGTTGGAGCCCTGAGGAAGGAGGGTGCTATAGACTGAATTTTATCCCCAGAAAATTCATATCTTGAAGCCCTAACCCCAATGTGACTCTATTTGGAGACAGGAAGTAATTAAGGTTAAATGAGGTCATGAGGGTGGGCCCTGACCCAAGAAGATTAGTATCCTTATCAGAAGAAGCACCAGAAAGCTTGTTCTCTGCCCCTCACCCATGTGAGCACAGCAAGAAGGCAGCCCTCTGTGGGCCAGGAGGAGAGGCCTCACCAGAAATCAGTCTTCCCGGACCTGGATCTGGGACTCCTGGCCTCCAGAAGTATGAGATATCAACTGAGGAAAAGTCCACATTTCAAATAGCAGATACTTATCTGGGCAGTTAGAATTGCAACTCAGGAGACACAGATCCAGGCAGAAACCCAAAACGTGTTCTGAGGAAAACAAGGACATAAGGGTTTATAAAGGCAAAAAGAGAAAAATTACACAGGTCATTTTGCAAAATTTGTGATTGGCGCTGGCAACAACTATTACTTCTTGGCTATATGTGATCACTTGCTAAGGCCATCTCTAAGGCAGGAAGTTCTTATCTTTGAGAGTAAGCATGTTTCTTGAAAGAAGGTCAAGATGACAACAGAGAAGCACAGCTCAAAAGTTACATTCCCTCTGGTAGAGACGTGGCGTGCCTGCCTGAGCCCCATTTCCTTAATGGCCTCCCAGCTCCATTTTAGAATCCTTGGCGTATGTTACTCCATTTTGTTCTCACTGTCCACATTTCCCCTTCTGATCAAGATCTTGCAGCAGAAAGCATCTCGGATCAACTGTTTGATATAATGATATTTCCCTCATTGCTAGAAATGTTCTTTTCTGGGACATCATGTCACTTGTTGGGGGAAGCCATGTCCTCAATCATCATAGGAGTAACACAGTCAGAGGCTCTGGCCACATCTGAGCCACAAGGAGGTGGTCAGGAAATGAGTCTTAGGTACGGTCTCTATCTGGAAAGGCATCAAGTCCTTTGGAGTTGGAAGATTGGTCAATCATTTCAAATTGCTGAGCAATCATTATTCTGGAGGTAGAGACAGACAGACAGCATTGAGAAATGCAAGTCATCCATAGCATGAAGGTGACAAAGATCATACAAATCAGGACAATAATCATTAGTATAACGTCGAACAGATCTGAGGCAGTAGTAACATAAGAAGCTTAAATACAAGCACACATAGCACAATTCTAATAATCATCGTAAACAATATCTGAAGTCCTGATCTCATCCACGCACCTACACCAGGAGGCCAGATGAAAACATCGACAGGGAAACAGTGGGTGTCACTAAAAGACATTGAACTGGAGACATCCTGTGCTATTTTTATTTTTCCAAGTTCTAACTCAATGTCACCAGAAGAGTTGATGCAGGTACAACAGGGGGTGTTGGCTACAACACAGATGCCACTCTGTTCTGCAAGGAGATAACTGAGTGCCATTCAATTACCTAATATGACCCTGACTAGGGGATCAGGAATTGTTGTTGTTGAGCTAAGGCTCAAGTGGTAGAATTTGCCAGTGTAGCTATGGTTTTAGGGATAAACTTTTTATCAACTTGTCATCATGGACAACATCAATGCAAGGGACAAAGCCTTTGGCAATGGTAATCAATGGAGAGTAGATGGGGTGTAAAATGTGGTCTCTAAGTCTCACCTAGACATACAAGATTGTGGTTGGGTTTCTCCTTTAACAAGAACTTGAAAAGGAATATTATGATATCCTAAAGGAATTATCCTGCCATATGCCAGCTGTCTAGACATTCAAAAGCCCATGGTTCTCCGTAGGTGGAAGGTGTGCCCAAAAGGGGACACCTATAATACAAT